GCCCTTTAAAGTGAAATGCTGTTTATTTGCCATCTGACGATATCACGTGGAGTTGCGTCCTGCCACCTGTAGGGGCGCTGTTTTGGAAACCCCCATATGCGTCATATGCTCGTCAAATGATCGTTTGGAGGTTGATCAAAACAACCCCTTGATACCTGACCAAACAGGTTTATCCACTAAGTGGGGGATGAACATCTGGGAAACAGCTGCTGACAGGATTACCAGGAAAAAATCGGTCTAATTTTAGTTGACTGTACTTTTTTAGACATGATTTACAGGAAAACAAAACAGAAAGGGTAGAACAGAGATGGGTGCACTGTGATAAGGAATTGTCATGGTGACCAACAATGCGGTAACGAAATGATCCTCGGTAGAAATGAGGGTCTCAAAGTGTGCTAAGAAAAAAAAAAAAACACCTTACCATCACCACCACTCTCAACCCTTCACACTAGACGGGTTGGAGCCATGCTTTCATATTTATGCCAATCCTGACTTTACCGGCTGAATATCACAGCAGACATCGAGATTCAGACCAGTTGTCCAATAAAAACACCAGTGTTGCTGAGCCTGTGTGAACTATGATCAGTTTCCTGTTTTGACTCACAGGACTGACACCTCCTGCACCTCGGCTGCATACCACCTAACAGCAACAAACGTAGATCACCTTTCTTCCCCATTCTGATGTTCGGTTTCAACTTCAGCAGGCGTTACTGGCCCTACCTACATATTTAAATGCACCTATATACAGCTTGTGATCGGAAGTTCAGATATTTTTGTTTACAAGCAGCTGAACAGATGTACCTAGTAAATTGGATAGTCAGTCTTTATCTTCCTGTTTCTCTCTCTGTTGCCTGTCAACAATAAAAAATAAAAGACTAAAGCAACTACAAAAAAAATAAAATAAAATAAAAATGCTGCTATAACATTTTAAATACTCGACTGGAATTATATATATTTTAAAATTTATCTAGTAAAATACATTAGTTTATATGACTGAGAGTCTCATAAACTTTAAGAATGACAGTCCCCCTCCCTCCCTTCTTGAGCTGTCACGGACACAGGAAATGCGAAGAGAGAAAAACTTCTATTGGAAACTTTATTCTCTGTAATCAGTGCAGGTAACATGTATTTGTCATGACAGAGTCCATAAAATGCTGATTTGTATGAATTACAGTTGTTCGTTGTGCCAAATGAAAACACAGATTTGCTAACTTGTTACACAACACATAATGAGAACAGTGAATAAAAAAA